AGGAGAAAAAAAAATACTTGAAGCATTTGCAATAACATGTTCATAAATGTATCACAATATGGCAATGATGCCTCTTGGAGGGCACGACAGATATCACCAATAAGTCCAACGGCAATCGAACAAAGAGCATATTCCTCGTGATTCGAAAGCGCAGCATAAAGGAATGGCGCGAAAGCATCAAGATATCTGACGAAATCAGCTTCCACAGCTATCAAATTACAATCATATTATTGGTATGAAAGATAAATATAAAGATTGTACAAATAAGTTGGCGTACCTGTAGTGATGGCACCTACAGCTAAGAATCCGTCTTCCAATGTTGTCGAATGTTTTGTTGATGAAGTAAACAAGGATAATAATGTAGTCATAATTCTATCGGCGAATGGCACCACTTCTTGCTTCAATTTGCGGATTATGCTCTGAAAGTTGAAGTGTATTATGGCTTGTTTTAATTAATTCGTTTTATTCGGGGGGGGGGGGGGGAATAGAAAACAAGAAGAAATTATAATTCCACTAACCGTTAAGACACTACAAAGATTTGATTGAAGTTCTGAATGAGCATGACGTTCGTCACTGCCTATAATTTGATTCTAAATAAATACAAAAAGTTATAATATATACGGTGTTGGAGAAGAACAAACTTGCTTAAATGTAATATGCATACTGTTGCTTGAATGGTAGCGTCCAATCTATCAAGTATAGTGACCGTCAGCTTTTGGATGGTCGAAAAACAGTCCTAATAAAATAAAGCAGCATAAATATAAATACAGAAATATAATTATAAAAGAGAAAAGATGAAAAACATAAAAAAGTATAAGAATAATATAATTGTGTGGTTGATATGAAGGTGGGCACAAGTCAATCCAGCAACTTTTGCGAATTGTCACTAGCCACAATTGATCATTCCTTTGTAAAGAAATGTTGCTAAATCGCTATCGATTTTGCGAATATTTACCAATGCGGCCCCTTGCACCAGAGTGGAGATGCATTCATAAGCAGATGTTCGCGAGTTAGATTCATTGGTTGACCTTAATGAAAATAACACGCAAAAACCAGCAAGTTTAAACACAAAGTAGTATAAATTTATCAGGGAGATATACAATGATAATAAAGGAAAAGAAAAAAAAAAGATTTTTTTTTTTTTTTAAGGATGATTTAACAAATGTCACAAATACCTCTCCGTAGTTTCCATGAGAGCCGAAATAATTCCCTCGTAGAAAGGAGATAAGGCATAGGTTGGTAAAGAAGATTCTCTGCTACCAAACTGATCAGACAAGCTCATCAGGGCCTAAAAGAGGTAAAAAAAAAAAATAAGTTGTAACTAATAATAATTAGTAGAATACCACAATACAATATAAATATAAACATATTTTGCGTACCCAGCAACAATTTGAGACAATTCTTGGCGAATCTCTTAATCCCAAGACAAGTGCGGAAACAAGGCTTTGAAGATGTTCATCAGGCTTAATACATTCAATCAACAATTCTGAAACGCGTCCAAGGGTCCAAGCAGTCGTATCTTTAACCTGAGCTGAATCATCCTTCATCATGTCAATCAGAACTGGCAAAGCTTGATTTACCAAATTAGTTAACATTTTGTGTTCGGGGCCTTCTAAAATGGATCCGAAGGCCATAATAGCTGCTTCCCGGAAACGCCAATCTGCACTACGAATATGACTTTCTACGAACGGAATCACGGGCGTAACGATGGCATCCTCAACGCATTGAGCCAAAAGTGATAAACAAGTTCCAGCAGCCATTGCAACATTCCAATCGTCTTCATCGGCATCTTCTTCCTGTAAACAACAAATTCATAGGTAAACAAACCAATTCATAACGATAGAGATGTGACAAAGGGACATACTTGTTTAGTGAGAAGCCAAAGCAGGACAGGTAATATTTCAGGTAAAGCAGCTTTTGCAAAGTTATGACTTAAACGATCCGGAGTTTCTCCTGCATCCGAAGCCTGTTACCAAGGAAATACCCGAATTAGAAATTGTCATAAAGCATGAACAAAAATATATATTCAAATACAAACCTCTAAAGCTTCATTGGCCAATTCGATTTCCTCGTCACATACTGTTGACCAAAATTCGACAGCTTGCAAAGCAACTCTTTCATCTTCACTTTTCATTCCAAGGACGGTCAACTTAGATACAAGTAGGCAAGTAATTATTAGCATGGTGAAATAAAATAGTTACAGCACGGTAAAGGTGAAGCGATACTAACACCAAATAAAGCCTTTTCCATATAAAATCTCATCTTGTCATAATAAATCTGCATTATTCTGACCAAACATTCAAAGGCAGCAACTTGCACATTTACATCAGAGCTTTGTGTGGCCTCACAAACAATTTGCATTATGTAATTACGTTCGCCCTTAATTACAATGATCGAGTTATCAAAATTTAAAAAACAACCCTTTTCTTTATGCTGATATGAAAAGCGATAAAAAAAAAATTCATTACCTCGCGTTCAAAATTGTCACGAATAAACTCGAGCGAGTTGTAAAGAGCATCAATTGCAGCTTTACGAACATCTTGACTTTATGTAAATAATAATAAAAAAAAATTTTTTTTTTTTACTTAAAAAGATACAACGACGACTCGAAAAACATAATATAGTTCCGTGTTCTTACTTGGGTTCCTCTTTTTTGGCACCTGATACAACTGCAGTAAGGATGGCTCCAGCTTGAGGTGCCAAAATAATAGGATCCTAGAGACGAAGTAAATCGGTATGATTATTATTGATGATGAAAAAATACACGTGTGAAATCAAATAACTTACGATCAATTCACAAATATAACCAATCGCGGTCAGGGTTGCTATCTTGAGGGTACTATTATTAGTTGTGGTAACATTTTCTAACAAATTTTTCATTAAATCAGGCCACTGATTTTCCATAGGAAGTTCGATAGCTCCAATCGCAGCAATAACCTATGAAACAAATGGTGTCGTTAATCTTATTGTCATTATGTTATCAATTATTCGATAAACACGTACCTGTGCAGCTGTGGTCGCAGCTCTTGTGTCTGAAGATGCCAACGTGGTTAGTACCTGTAAATTTGTTCAATTAGATCGGATTACATCATAAAGTATAAATCTGTCAAAGTTACAAAATGTAAAATACCGCTTGTTTAATTTGTTGCCTTGTTGCCTCGTCCACCGATAACCATCTTTGTATCATTTCATTTCTTCTAGACGCCTCCTGCAACAAACCGAGAGAATAAAATAAAATTCGGTTAAAACATAAGACAAAAGAGAATATATATTATTAAAAAATTAAACCCTCACCGACGAGGACAGAGTATTTTTCAAAGCTATACCAGCCGCGTTTCGAGTATACTGTGACGACTGTTCATTTGCAAGCTCTTGACAGAGCATCGCAACATACATGGGCTTAAATAATAAAAAGTTGATAAATATAATCAGGTATTTATTATAACGCGTTGTGAAATTAATTATCATAAATAATAACGTAAAAACGGGCAATAATTACAAAGTTAGTCGTTTCTGCTTGCTCAAGCTGTCTTTGGGCATCTTCACGAGTTTTCTGATCTGTGTGAAATAACAAAAAGGTTGATAAAACATGATAAAAAATAAAGCAATTCGAGATGCCTTGGCGCAGCCATTCGCATAATCGAACGCTCGAACTTTTATCATAACACGGATTTTTCTAGAATAAATCAACTTACCACCCGAAAGTGTGTTTGTCAAAAGTTCCCCAATGCTGAGCATCGTAAAAAGAATGCAACTTTATGGAATTTATTTGGTATGTTGAAGTGAGAGAAAAAAAAAAAAATTTTTTTAAGCTATATATTCAAACAGCAACAGTTGTTAAAATTTATATCACTTGATGCAATTGAAATTTGGCTGGCACTTTGATCTAATTCAGCCCTACTTTATTTATCAAATCACAGTCCCAAAGCTAAGCCACTGGTCCTATAAGTTGGGCCCAAATTCGGAGTCTAGACTGAATTACGATCTAACCATTTAAATTTCGATATAAGTTACAAAAAAAATCTATTCTTTTGATCTTTCCCAGACTCTCGTTAATCTTGAACAAAAGGTAAAGCATCCATTAAAAATAAAAGGTTATTTAATTGTAATTAATTATCTATTTTAATAATCTAGTTTTTCTAATTAAAAGTTTGTATAATTTTGCAGTTATTTAATCAAAGATGAGAGCAAAGTGGAAGAAAAAGCGAACCAGGCGCCTTAAACGTAAAAGAAGAAAAATGCGCGCACGTTCTAAGGTAAATATATATATATTATTTTATAATTGGTTCCTTTTAAATCCTGTAAAAACGTTCGTCTAATCTAAAAAAAACAAAAAAAAAAAAACCTTCCTCCCGTTTAATATCAATAAATAGTAAACTACTTTACGGCAATCGAACAACTTTCTCCAAAGACTACTTTGAAGAAGTTCGCCGGATACTGCATGCATGGGCAAGAGGATTATAAAAAAAAAAAAAAAAAAATCCGGATATTTTCATGAAAAAAATTTCATTAAAATTTTCCACAATCGAGTAATAAAATTTTTCAAAAAGTTTTACAAACAAAATGAAATATATATATTTTTTTATATGGTAGAAAGTGGTAGCAAAATAATTTATTTTTATTTATTTATTATTTCTTTGATGTTGCTGCTGGCGTTGAACTATTCAAATTTTGCAACAAAGCTTCATAAAACAGTTTTTTCTCTGAAAGGTTATAAGAAGGATTCTGACCTATGACTTTTTGTAAAGAATTGGTTAAATCATTGTCAAGGTTGAATTTTCCTTGCATAGATTTTGGAAATGAAAGGTAACGATCATAATCCCCACCCTCCAATTCTAACCGTAATGCCGCTTGTTCGTCTTGACTATTCTCCAAAGTATCTGGAACACTTAATTTGTTCGTACTTGAATTAATAAAATCCGACCAATTGATATCTTGCACCACAAAATCAGTTTGTCGCGGTGGTGGTATACTTGATCGCATTTCATATTTATGTTCCGATTTTCTTTTATATCGACTCTTTTGATTCATCTTTGAATCGGTTCGTGACGAATTATTCATTAAAGTTTTGTGCATTCCTCGATTATTATCTTGTTTTCGTTGGGTAGCACTTCCTTCGCGTCTTAATGGTGGTAGCGGTGATGATGATTTATATTCTTCATACATTTGTTTAAGTGGTTCTTGTATTGGCTCAGCTAAAGATTGAAATGTTTTTTTCCCTTTTTCAATCGCATCCTCAAATTGACCGGGTCGAGCATTTTTTACCTTTGTGTCCAACCTTGTATTACCATTTACTTCTGAATTCTTCTTTAACCTCTGACTTAAGGAGATAGATTTTCCTCCAAGGGTAATTTGATCCATTGAACCGCGACCGAGACCAGTAGAAAATAAAGCATTTTGATTAAAAGATGAAGAAGTTACATAAACAGGGCACGTACGCGTTGAATGTTGACTTAATGGGCGAAGCATTTTTTTGAAACGAGATTTTTTTTCTTTTTTTTTTTTTTTTACAAATCTGTTTGTGTGATTCTTATTGGATGACAGCAAAAACCACGTGAAGAATAAATGACTTGTTCCAAAGTTGCATATTGACGCATTATGATATCTTTGGTAATATGGACTATGTTTTTATTTTTGAATTTATTATCGATCCAAATTAAGACAAAAAAGAAAATTTAAATAACAAAGACGTAAATGATTGCGTTTCACTAGTAGATAAACCCTCCTTTCGTTTTCCCAATCATATTTAATTTTGTCATACTGATGGAAAAAATTAAAACAACACCCTTACAAGAACAAAATTGTGTTCTAGTTGACAACTTTGCCATCTTTGTTCAAATCCTATTAGGGACAATTGCATTTTCAACCCTCATTTATAAAAGACACAGAGAGAGACCACAAAGACCATTACGTATATGGTAAGACCCCTCGTCGAGTAGAATTCGTATTGAATTTTTTAAAAAAAAAAATAAAATAAAATAAAAAAGAGTATGGCGCATTAATGAAATCAATCTTATTTTTTTTTTTTTTTTTTTCCTTTTCACCTTTCTTTTTTCAATTAGGTTTTATGATGTGAGCAAGCAATTGCTAGGAGCTGCAATAGTGCATGGATTAAACATTATCGTATCATATTTAGCAGGCTCGGTTGATGAAGGCGACACAAATCCTTGTGTATGGTTAGTGACAAACGGTTTCCTCGTCATTTTCATAATTAATCAATCATTCACTAACCCATTGAAATCGAACGATTTCTCTCGTTGTTTAGGTACTTTCTTAATATTCTCATAGATTGTACCTTGGGCGTATTTATATTATATGTGCTAATAAAGACTGTTGAACTCATAGTGGACAATGTTGGCATAGAAGGTAAATTTCAATTACATAATTAATGAATTTTTCAATGTTAAATAAGTTTATCTTATATTTGATTGATTCATTAGGCATGAAGAGTGGAGATTATGGACACCCTCCGAATGTGAATTTGTGGATGAGACAAACGATAGCATTTATATGTTGCTTGTTTTTTATGAAAGCAATCGTTTTAATCATTTTTCAATTATGCCCTGTATTATTTGATATAGGAGAATGGTTACTAGGATGGACATTATTTGATGCAAAATTACAAGTTGTATTCGTTATGTTAATATTTCCATTGATTATGAACATTTTACAATTTTGGCTTGTTGATCAAGTTATAAAGAAAAAATTGGAACGCGTTAAACTAGAAGATGATGATTTTGGTATCGAAGATGTATTCCTCCCGGGAGAACTTAGTGATGATGATGATGATGATGAAGGAGTGATCAATTATAATGAAGGTTTGCCATCTTATAAAGAAGAGGGTGATAGCTGTGTTAGTATTTCTTCTAATACTGCTATACTCGCAAGAGAAACTTTTTCAAATGATAAAGATAAATTTAGTGGAGGAAATGATGGTATACCTGATAGTTATGAGTTACGAAAAACTCCATCACCTAGCACAATGAGAGATGGTTATTTTTGATCATAAGAAATGATTTTTCAATAAATTCTTTAATTTATTGACCCCCCTTCCCCAATTTTTTTTTTTTTTTTTTTGATTCAGATGTTCCTTTCCTTCCCCTCTTTTTTTTTGTACAATATATTAGAAAATTTTCTCTTTAATATTAATTTAATATTAAAATTAATTGTTACAAGTTTTAACAAAAAAATATATTTGTGATACATGTAAAATAGGTTAAACCCCATATCGATTATAAATCAAAATCAAATTGACATTTAGATTAATGATATACTTTGGATATTCTAAAAAATGTAAATTTTTTAACAATTAAATCAATAATTTTCATTAATTTGACGATTTTTTTTTTCAATGACTTTCATAAGTGTTCCCTTAATTGATTGACACATATTTATCATTCAAAACGTCGGAAATGTCCTATAAATAATCCTCCTCATCGGTAAATCAAATCCCCAAATTCTTCCCCTAATCATCAACAAACTTAATATTCGGTCCCTCTTACAACAAAGGTAATTTATCAATATTTTTTTTTTTTAAAAAAAAAAAAGTTTATTGAGGGAATAAGAGAAAAATTTTTTAATAGTGGCCTTTTAAAAAAAAAAAAAAAAAAAAAAAAAAAAATTCAAATCAAATTTTTGATAATACCATTCGTCCAATATATATATATATATATATATATGGATTTTTACTAAGCCGCATCAGATTAAAACTTTAGTTATTTAAACCATTATGAATAAAGAAACATATCAAGGTCCACAAGGAGGTCCACCACCTCCTCCAGGTCCGGTAAATCAAGCAACACCAAGAGGAAGTGATAATGCCGCCAAAATGTTATATAATTGTGCAGGTAAGTTAATACGATATTCCTCACTCTCTTTATTGGAAATCAATCATTTACTTATTTTTGGGGTGGTTCTTTAAATAAAAGATTGTGGAGCAGAAAATGAAATAAGACCAAAAGAACCCTTACGTTGTAAGGAATGTGGACATAGAATTATGTATAAACAACGAACAAAAAAGAGTGAGTTTTATTTTATTTTTTTTTTCTAATACTAAAAAAATTATTATTAATATTTCTATCTTTGTTAATAAGTGGTCCAATTTGAAGCTCGTTAATTATTATTTTATTTTTTTTTTTTTTTCAACGATAAATAATAAAATCAAAATCAATGTTTATGATATTTTCGTTGCCTGAAATTATTTTATTAATTTTTACACAACCCAAATGTTTTTTTTTTTTAAATAAAACCAAAATCTCTCATCTTACTAAGTAAAAAATACAAGAAATATAAAAATATATCAATACAAAGTATAAAAGAAGAATCTTTATGTATATAGTATAAATCAAAACTTGAAAAAGTAAGAAAAGGTAATTTGATTAAATGAAGCAAATCAATTAAATTTACATTATTTCAAGCTTCTTATTATAAAGAAATGCAGAATGGATTGATTTATTAGATAAAAAAAGGAAAAAAAAAATTATTATTTTAATTTATCTCAATAGTTTTTTGATCTCGACTACCCTTAATTATTTAACATTTGACGTCACCGCCACTTGCTTTGGTATTTAAAATAAGACCCACAATTAAACCGTAAAGACCTAATACTTCGGCGAAAATGAGAATAAGAATCTATTTTCATAAAATGAAAATTAAAATTTGTTAGATTTCAAAAAAAGAAAATTGATCGTTAAGTAAGGTAATACTTAAAGTGTACTTACCATACCAACGAATAATCTGGGTTGTTGTGCGGTAGCACGCACACCAGCGTCACCAACTACACCAATGGCAAATCCAGCTGCAAGACCAGCAAGACCGACACTTAGTCCGGCTCCAAGTTGAATAAATCCACTACAAATTAGTGATCGTTGATAGTTAATAACCAAATCCCAAAAAAATTACAAATTAGAAAAAAAAAAAAAGGTTTGAGCAAACTTACGTGAATAAAGCCATTTCTTGTTTGACTTTAAAATTTTATCGAATAAATAATAAAGACGATATAAACATCAAGCGAAATGTGGATTGAATTCATTAGATTAATTGAAGAAAGATACTTACGACCATCAGAAATTAAGACAGATACGACCAGCCCGTAAATACCAATAATACCAGCCATAACAATTGGTACAATGGCTTTCATAACCAAATCAGGACGTAAGACACCCATAGCCGATAACCCTACACCAGCTTTTGCTGTGCCATATGCTGCTCCAAAACCTTCAAGAAATGAAATAAAATAATTAAGAGATTAATTTAGAATTTCATGTAAAATAAAGCAATCTGAATTTTGAACAGCTTGTCGAATATTCTCATTAAGAGAATTAATGCTTTTATCCTACATCTTTAAAATTCAGGCAAATGTAACGTCTTTTAAGTCAAGTAAATGAAATTACTTACAGGTAAAAACAATAGCAGAAGTACATCCTAAGGCACCGAATATTGGGGCATAGACGGGACTATTTTGTTTTATTATAATAAAATTAACAAATATTAGTTAAAGGAAAAGAACGAATTACACATGATGCTGATGTACCAATACCCACCAATAGTTTGGTGTTTCAGCCATTTTATTATTTTATTATTAGCTGGGTTTTAAAGATAAAAAATAAACGTTGAAAAATTTTTTTAAAAAAGGTAGAGTAATGTCGTGATAAGAGGTTAAGAAGATGTAAATTAAACAAACAGCAAAGAATCAGTTCGTTAAAGTTGAAGAGAAAAAAAAACTGATTTTTTAAATAAAAATTCCTTACATTTTTAATTTGAGATTGTGGAATGGGATTGTAGTTTAGTGTTGTCAGATGAAAGATGATAGATAAAGATATTTCATTGGCCAAGTCAACTTAATTAGGGAAACGTCATGAGTTACACCGTTAAACAAATAATTGACGCCAAAAAAATATAATCTTGATTGTGTATTGATCATACAGATTTATTTTTTACTTCTTTCTTCAAATGATTATAATTAAGATCAAAAAATATATTCATCAGTGATCTTTGATAAAAAAAGCTGTGATAACTTTTTTTTTTTTTTCCGACATCAAATCTATTGAATTTCATTATGCTTCTTGCATGGGCATCCCCGTTACTTTGCTCCGATACTTTTAAATTAAATAATTTAAATAAATTATATATAATAATATATTTTGGAATCTGCTCAATAGAATTGAAATTTTGATTATAATATTTTTTATTCTTTTTATTTAATTTTAATAATTATATTTGTTGTAAAATGTGTTCATCTTCATTTTGTATATCATAATCATCTATTTCCATAGGTATAGAATCATTTTGTTGATATTTTATCGCGTGTGGTCTTGAATCATTCATATATTCTTTAAAGGCATTTAGAGCTTGCTAAAATATATTAGCAAAATTAGATTATATCATATAATATTAATTAATTAGTCGATCGTGGTCAATTAAAGTTAATTTCGAACCTGGTAAGCATCCTTCATAGGATCAAGCAAAGTCGCCTTGATATTTATATTTTGAACCTTATCTAAATGTCCTGCTTTCCTTAACATATCTTTGAAATATCTTACCTGATGATTTGACAAGGGAAAGATAAGTAAATTAAACCTTTATCCTGATGCAGTAATGAAGTGTTTTTCTTACCTCTTGTGTTTCTACAAGGCTATATGCATCCCCATTACGCCCAGCACGCGCAGTTCTACCAACACGATGCACATACTTTTTCATATAGATAGGATTATCATAATTGATCACTGTATCCACTCTATCTAAATCCATCCCTCGAGCTATCAAGTCCGAACATATTAATCTATCAAAAAGTGCCCGTTAGAATCGAGTTACTGAATGATTTATTTGAATTATTTATACTCACAAACGAATGTCGCCACGTTTGAACTTGTTTAAAATATTTTTCCTTTCATCTTTGGTTAGATCACTTGAATATTCTGCCGCAATTATCGATCCAATAGAAACAATCATATTATCGTTTTCTTGTATAGACTCTTTTGCATTCGAGTTCTCAAATAATTGAATTAATTTAGCAAGTCTGTGCGCAGAGTCTACGGATTTTGTAAAGCAAAGTGCAGATTTTATATGGAGATTGTAAAGGAGGTGAAGAACAATGAGAGGTTTCATTGACGATGACGTAACAATCATGAATTCCTACAATCCCACAAAATAACGGGTCAAATAAAATTCTTTTTAAACACGAGATTTAATAAATTGTTGAACGATCTTACTTTCAGTGTAGTTGGAAGTGTATATTTGGTTTCGCCTTCATCTTTATGTAAGGATTGAACAGAAATATATTGTGGTTTTACCAGGCGTAAACTTGCAATCTTGGCTGGATTACGTGTGAGAGTTGCTGAAAACAACAACTTTTGAATCTTTTTCGACATAATTGAATAATACCGTAAAAATTAAGCATTAAAGAAAGAAAAAAAAAACGGAGCGCTTAATTTTTTTAACAAGGCAACCTACCGCAGACACTTTTGTTTCTGAGGCATCCATTTTCGGGAGATTAAATAAAGCACCCATAATCGAAGACGATATCGCGTCATCGTTATTAAACGAGGCTCTAAATATAATAACCCCAAGTCAAATATGGATTGTGCAAATAATATAAAAGACCAAATTACAAGACAAACATGCTCGTGAAAACCAACCCAATAGAATCATCAAGGTTAAATCCAATTGTATCTTTCCCACTTTCCACGCCGTTTATTTGCTGTGTAGACTTAAGTATGTGAATCAACCAATCCTGATAACTTTGATTAAGTAACCGATCGGCTTCATCGATAATCTACATGAAAATTGCAAGTCAATATAGAATATATCTAAATATATTATACTTTGATAAACTTACGCACCAGAAATCGCAAGTGCTGTAAAGTAAAATTGGGCGTCATCGACAAATGCTCGATTAATCGTCCAGGTGTAGCTATTAATATATCAATCTTACTTTTCCCTCCCATAAGCCTATAGGTTAAGCTTGCGTTAATTATGGTTACCAATTTGCAACAATACTTTTGAAAAATACTGACTCACAATTCCGCCGAACTACAAACTATTTGTTCTTGTTCATGGGTAAACGACTGTTGACCGGTCACTACACCAATCTAAAAGTTGATGAACATTTGAATTTTAACTCCAAGTCATACATAATGCGATTATAAGAATTTGAGATCACCTTCAAAGTTGTTCCTTTACAGAAAGCGATAAAAGTTTCTTTAACTTGTGCTACCAAATCTCTGGTTGGGAGAACAACAAGCGCTCTTAAACGTGTTATTATGCGCTTGGAAAGAATCTGACATTTTAAGAAATCAGCATTTTAGATATAAAATCCCTTTCCCAATCGATTAAGAATACATCGTACGTACCTCAATAATAGGAAGTACGTAGGCAAGTGTTTTACCACTTCCCGTTGGAGCAGAGACGCAAATATCACCAGGATGCATATGAACATCTGATAATCTTCGATTGTGTACCAACAAAGGAATGACTGCTGTCTGAACTATGTGAAACATATTGAAATTATAAAATAAATTAACTCGTCAGAACGCTGTACATTTGTAATTTCTAACCAAATCATTCTTCACTAAAGAAATGTTTACCTGCAAAGCATTCATTGATTCCTAATGTTTTGCATCGATTTCTCAACCGATCAGATAATCCGAGAGATGAATCGTCAATCGGGAGCGTTGTTTCTGGGTCAATTACGGTAGGATTTGCTAGCCAGTCTGGTATTCCCAGTAATTTGACGGCAGCTGCTTCTTGAGGTGTCTGCTTTGGCTTATCAAATGTTGGAAAGGAATGTAATACTTTAATTTCTTCAATGTGCCCCTCTTCGTATTGTCCTTGGTGTATAAGGTTTAGGTTTATTCTTTCATCCTCTTGTTCATTTTCTTTAAGAACTGTATCATTTTCAGAAGTATTTGTAATTAATTCGCTATTTTTTGCACTTCCTTTGTGACTTTCCGGTACTTGTACGGTTTTTTTCAGGTCCGCTTGTGTTTTTTTGGAAACCTTTTCTTTTATGATACGTTTTCTCTTAAATTTATCATTGATTTTAGCTAAGCGCTCATTCGCCAAGGAGGAATTTCCTTGCGAGGATTCTTCTTCATATCTTGGAATTTGAAACATTATACAAAACTTACAAGACGAACGAAAGCTCAAAAAATTTTAAAAAAGAATTTTTGAGATAATCAGGTTTTGATAATCTAAACAAAATTTCGATAATCAAATAGCATTCAAACTTGCAAAGTTAGTTCGTTCACAATTATGTCTCAACAAAAATTAGGTATGTTTTTTCAAATAAAAAAAAAAAAAAAAACAAAGTAATCCTATACGCATTCTATATATTGCGCGTTTATTTTTTCGGGACAATGAAGGCTGACGAAGCGTAATAAATGGCGCAGTAATTCATAAAATTTTTAATAAATCAATTTCTAAAAAAGCAATCCTTTCGGTTTATGATAAAACTGGCTTGATTGAGCTTGCAAAGGAACTTAATGATTTAAATGTACGCCTTCTTGGTTCCGGCGGAACAGCCAAAAAGATCCGGGAAGCTGGTATTCCTATCTCGTATGTAAAGAATTCTTCATATAAGAAATTTATTGAATATGGGAAACTAAAAAGTTTGACAATTTTTTTTTTAAAAAAAATTCATCTATTGTTGCTTAAATTATAACCAGGGATGTATCCGAGATTACGAACGCTCCTGAAATATTAGGTGGTCGAGTTAAAACCTTACACCCCGCAGTTCATGGTGGTTCGTATTTAAACATCACGTGATACGTATAAATATGCTTTCCATTAATGATTAATGAATCGCAGGTATCCTCGCTCGCAATATTCCGAGCGATGAAGCTGATCTAGCTAAACAAAATATCAATAAGATCGATATTGTCGTATGCAACCTTTATCCTTTCAAGGAAACAATAGCAAAAGAAGGCATCAGCATGGCAGATGCTGTTGAAGAAATTGATATTGGTGAAGATCGATTCAATATTTACTCTTTGGTCAACAGGAATGAATTATTATATTAATTTGAATTTTTCATAAGGCGGTGTTACCTTGCTGAGAGCTGCGGCAAAAAACCATGCCCGTGTTACGATCCTTTCTGATCCCAAAGATTACTCTAAACTCGTAGCTGAACTAAAGAGTGGAGGAATTTCCGACAATTCACGTCAGTTATTCGCTTTAAAGGTAAAAACAATTCATTTATATATTTATTAGAAGGTCATTATTATTGGATGATTACGTTAACAAATTAACTGAACGTATGTAGGCTTTCAACCATACAGCTGATTATGATGAAGCAATATCCGATTATTTCAGGCAACAATACACCAAGGATATTTCGCAACTTAGTTTGCGATATGGCACAAACCCTCATCAAAAACCTGCCCAAGTCTTTGTAAAAGAAGGACAACTTCCAATTAAAGGTTTATTTTTTTTACACTTCATGTGATAGAAAGAATTACTTAGTTATTTGATAACATGGTTGATGATCAAAATATTTTTAGTTCTCTCTGGATCACTTGGTTATATCAACCTTCTTGATGCTCTTAATGGATGGCCTTTAGTCAAGGTTCTTGTAGCTCTCACATTCAAAAAAATTGAATCGTGAAAATATGTTAACACTCGTTTCATAATTTAGGAATTGAAAGCTGCCCTTAAGCTTCCTGCTGCCGCTTCATTTAAACATGTTTCCCCTGCTGGTGCTGCAGTAGGGATTCCCTTGAGTGATATTGAGAAGAAGGTTTATTTTGTTGACGATTTAAAAGAATTATCGCCCTTGGCCAATGCGTATGCTCGTGCCCGAGGTGACTTTAGTTTTCTATATTCCGTATAAATGGCTTTCAACGTATTACTAACGGTCAATTGATTATAGGTGCGGATAGAATGTCTTCTTTTGGAGATTGGATCGCCTTGAGTGATACGGTTGATGTACCCACCGCAAAGATTATATCACGTGAGGTATGCTTATATGTGGAATTAATAAATGTTATACAGACCGCCTCTATACCAATTTGACGTTAAATTGTAGGTATCTGATGGTATAATCGCACCCGGTTACGAAGCAGAAGCGCTTGAAATCTTGCGAAAGAAAAAGGGAGGGAAATATACCGTTATTCAGGTCAGTTACAAGTGATCAAATCTTTAAGATGATTATGTAAATAATTTTAATTGTTTTTGGATATTATTATAGATTGATTCTAATTATGAACCACCAGAATTTGAAACACGGCAAGTTTACGGATTAAATATAAAGCAAAAACGTAACAACGTTCAAATTGACGCGAAATTATTTGAAAACATTACAACAAAGAATCAAAATGTAAGCAAGTTTCCACTTATTTAACTTTCTTATAATGGTACGTGATTTTAACCGACTTGAGCGTTTTAGCTTCCTGAATCAGCAATTACCGATTTACTTGTCGCTACGATCGCTTTGAAGTATACGCAGTCAAATTCTGTATGCTATGCAAAAAATGGTATGGTAATTGGATTGGGTGCTGGGCAACAATCGCGTATCCATTGTACAAGGCTGGCGGGAGATAAGGCAGATAATTGGTGGTTACGTCATCATCCAAAAGTTTTAGGTTTCAATTTCAAGAAAGAATCCAAAAGGGCTGACAAGAGTAATGCAATCGACTTGTATATACTTGATAAGATTGGCGAGGTGATACGGAATTCATTGAATGCATGTTTTTTTTTTGTTTGTTATCGTATGATTTTAATGCTCATCTCATTGCCTTTGTAGGGTCTCGAACGCGCTTCATGGGAATCACAGTTTAATACAGTTCCCGAACCTTTAACAAAAGAGGAACGTGTCGCACATTTGAACTTGCTATCCGGAGTTGCACTTTCATCTGATGCTTTCTTCCCTTTCTCTGATAACATTCACAGAGCACATCAATCCGGCGTTTCTTATATTGCTGCTCCAAGTGGTTCGGTGCAAGACAGTGAAGTTGTCAAAGCAGCTGACGAACATGGAATAGTTCTAGCGCATACTAATTTAAGATTATTTCATCATTAAAAAAAATTATTATCAAATTATTTTATAAAAAAAAAAAAAGAGAGAGAGAGAGATAACCATAAAATTAATATAAAAAAATAAGAGAGAGAGAGAATGATCAAACCATAAAATTAAAATATAAAAAAATAAAATTTTTAGATAGCATATTTAAAAGAGACGTGTAATTTACATTTATATATTTAGAGCTAAAGAAAACATGGGAAGAATAATTACCCATATCACGTGATTTATGCGATCGTGTTTGCATTCTCGATAAGGGAAACGTTCTTTTGAATAAATTGTTAATTGAAATCGACAGTGGCTCTCCGTGGCTTCATCTGATGATATGTGTCTTTACTTTCATTATTTTATTTGTGATACAACCATGTTCAATGTCGTGTAACCTTTTTTTTATGATGAAATCGCAGCTTATATTATAAAATTACAATCAACTTGAACATTTTGGTCGAAATATTCAAATTCGCTTCATACGAATAACTTTAATTATAACGTTAACTTTTCTCAAGATAATTATGAGTTCATATAATTATTCAAGAGATCGTTCACATGCTTCAAGGTCATATTCTTCAGACCAACAGCCTCAAGGTCAACCACCTTTATTACCACCACTTTCTTCTACACGTTCTTCGTTAAACCACTTATTGAATTCCTCAGAAGAACAACCAAGCTACTTACCACCTCCAATACCTCAACACACTACCCCACAACACTATCCACAACAAGCAATATCTTTTCCCTCGTATCATTCTCAACCGTCCAGTAATTCACACTACAGACATAATCATGCGGATTATCCTCCATCTTTGTCACACTCGGTGCCCTTACAACATCAAGAAATTGTTTATAATTATCCTTGGGGTGAATATCCGGAACCTCCGGCACGTCAAGTAAGTTTTTAATAATTTATCTTCATAGAGCGCGCGTATTACCTTTGGTTATTAAAGTTTTTCATTCTTACTTTTTAAACGTAAATTCTATTATTCTTTATTAATTAGATACCAAATTCCTCCTATAAAATGGATCACGGTGAGAAGACAATTAAAGATACAATTGATATCTTTGTGTGAAAGTTTAAAAATGAGAACAAAAAGGGTTTCAATGAATACTAAATTCATTTATGGTTTTTTTTTCTTTTCTAGCACATCAAAGACCGTTGACATTTTTTCATACGACAGTAAATCAAGCTCCTGTACATCGTATTCACGATGGAGCTAGCATAGTTCCGCAAGAGGTAAATTATCATTTGAATTACACCGAACATTACAGCGTCGTCTAATTGCGAATCCTTATAAATTCATACATATATTATTATTATTATTATTTTAGACATTGTTGCGCCCATCACCAACCTTAATGTCGATACCACAACTTTTGAGTAGAGATCCGAACGAAGATTCGGAATATTCATATTCAAAATCACAAAATAATTCTGGCGGTGTACGTGAAGATGATGTATACGGTAGAATATCAACAATAGCGCAAACAACAACAGATAGCACCGATGATAAAGATAGTGCTGCTACAGTAACTGATGTCCGAGATTCAGGACATTCAGGAGATACAACCGAAGAAGAACTTAATCTTCCGCCATCACGAAAACTTTCAGACCAAAAGTCCGGTTTAGTAGTGGTAAATTTTATTAGTTGGTGAAAAGATTCATATATTAACTTGAATTAACATTTACTTTATTGTAATCGTTTTAAGAAATTAAAAACAATTCAAATCCCTGTACAAACGCAAAAAATTACGTCACGAATATCACAAGATCAAGAATCGACTAATGCTACAAAAGTCACTCAGGCATCTCAAATTGCGAAGCCCAAATCTACTCGTGGTCGTAGAGCAGCAAGTTCTTCATCAGTAGGTTCAGTATCACAGTCTTCTCAAGTTCAAAAGCCTACAAAAGGTACGCGAGCACGTAGAACGGCAAGTTCTTCATCCATCGGTTCAGCCTCTCAGGCTTCTCATGCTACTAAACCTGTAAAAATAACTCGGATTCATAGAACTGCTAGTTCCTCTTCTATTGGTTCAGTATCACAGGCATCTCAAGCGCAAGAGGTTACCTCTCAGTCGAAGCAAAAAATTCAACAGAATCAGAAAAATAAGCAACAACGTTATTCCGCTAATTCTAAGCAACCAGGCAAATTAGAACCTTCTTTATCGTCACGTTCAAACAAGAATAGTCTGACCCAACACAAAGACATCGGGCATACTTTTGGTTCGTCAACAATGACTGCTGCGGAGTTGAAATCTAAATTTGCATTGGCGGAATCAAGTAGTGGTTCTTCAAGTAACAGTGATAAAAGTGACCTTGATGATAGCTCGGATTCTAGCCTAGAAAATGAGTATAGTGAAGATGTTGTGAAATATATGGTGCAATTACATCAGCGTACCAAACGTACTATAGATGCTTATGAAAAAAGATGTAGAGTAAGTAAATTTTTTTAAATTAAAATCAAAATATTTCCTCATTTATAATTTATTAACTAGTGCGTACTTTAACCTTAGGCAAAGAGAGAAAAGTTGCGCAAGAGATTCTTATTTCGTAATAGTAACCGCAAAGATATCGTTAAGTCATTGGGGACAGAGAATAACAAGAAAAGACGAAGGCGAATTTCACGCAAAGTCAAGAAGATTGATTCACGATATTCCAGGAAACATGAATATGATGTAATGATCAGATTTCACATCAGGGTTTGTTTTACCTATAAGAAATTTCTAAAAATTTTGCTAAACTTATAGAGCGAAACCGAAGAGCAAAGGCGCGAAACTCTTTCTTTAAAGATTCTGAAACAAAAGGAAGCATATGAGCTCGAGGAACGAAGAAGAATATGGAAAGATATCGTCCGCAATGCAATACCAAGAGTAAGTCTTCTACTTTTTTTCCTCCTCTGACCATCTATTCATATACTTAATAGTTCTTGATATTGTTATCAGGTACATAAGATTGTAAATCAATCTATAACCTTTCGAACAAACAATGCTCGCAAGATTGCTCAGATTTGTCAGAAGGAAGCTCGTAAAGCTACTACCAAATGTTATAGATCTCCAAAAGATATTCAAACTAAGGCTAAACAGGCAATGCGACAGGTACCGTTATTAGATTTCCTGATGATTAAAAGCGTATCTTTATGAAATAATCTATTGAAAATAATAATTGATCTTTCTTTTCATTTAATAAATATAGATGCTTATGTTTTGGAAACGTAATGAAAAAGAAGAACGCGAATTGCGCAAAAAGGCTGAGAAGGAAGCCTTGGAAAAGATGAGAATCGAGGAGGAATTGCGAGAAGCTAAAAGACAAGCGCGTAAACTCAATTTCCTCATCACACAAACCGAACTATATAGTCATTTTGTCGGCAAAAAAATAAATAGTACGTATTTATTTATAATACACGTTTTGCCATGATTTGTTTAATCACAATGATTAAAATTTTTATTAGCTGATGATGATCGTGGAGAGTCTTCTTTATCCGTCGTTGTTGCAACCAGCACTCAAGATCCCGAATTTTCATCTGATGATCTCAATAATTACACTGAAATCGACGTTGATATAGACTCTATGCCAGCCACTTCATTCAAGGATATCAACTTTGACGAAGGTACTTCAAGAGACAAGAATTAGAATATTACTTTCAAACTAGTTGTTAAATATATATCACCCTTTTGTTTTTTAGAGGATGATAATACACTTGTAGCGAAAGCCCGTGCTAGCGCCAAGAATGCCCTTGCGCAAGTTAAGGAACATACCAAGATTTTTGATGGTGAAAGAAAAACTCAACATGCAGATATATCCTTATCTAATAAGGATTGTATGTTAATTGTTTCATTAGGTTTATGATTTTGGAATCTCGCTTTTACTCACAATTTATACTTCCTGTAATAGTGGATCATATGAACTTCCAAAATCCTTCAAGTATGCCGTCGGGCGCAGAGATCAAGCAACCTTCTTTACTTGCTAAAGTTACTTTGAAGGATTATCAGATAAGGGGATTAAATTGGTTAGCTAATCTCTATGAACAGGTTTATAATTTATTCATTTATTATATATGATTGTATGATTGTTAAAGCATTATCCTAAAACTTAAAATTGTTAATAACTTATAAGGGTATTAATGGAATATTGGCCGATGAAATGGTAATAGATTTATTTATTTATTTATTTATTCAAATTTTGATATTATAAATCAATCGATAACTTAACTTATTATAGGGTTTGGGGAAAACGGTCCAATCTATATCATTGATGGCACATCTTGCAGAAGTAAGTTTTGAATTGTTTAAGGCAATTATTTAATTCAATGAAATTGATTTTTTTTTAAAAAAAAATTCCGTTCTTTTTTCTTTTTTCTTTCTAAGACACATAATATTTGGGGACCGTTTTTAGTTATTGCTCCAGCATCAACCCTTCATAATTGGCAAAAAGAAATTTCCGAGTTTCTTCCTAGCTTCAAGACATTACCATATTGGGGCAATCCTAAAGATCGAAATGTACTGCGGAAAACTTTGAATAAAAAGAATATGATTTTCAATGCTGATGCGCCTTTCCATGTCGTAATTACAAGCTATCAACTGGTAAAAATCTTACTTAATATTTATGTTCGTTCTTATCGATATTAACTAAATCTAAATCGATAGATTGTTCAAGATAAGGCGAATTTCGAGAGAACCAAATGGCAATACATGATTTTAGATGAAGCACAAGCTATCAAGAGCTCTTCGAGGTAAAGATATAAATAATGTAAATTTATTTATTTGGCGCTCTCTCACTTATGTTTATTTCCTTATTTCAGTGCTCGATGGAAAACATTACTAGGCTTTCAATGTCGCAATCGACTCTTGTTAACTGGTACACCAATACAAAATAGTATGCAGGAATTATGGGCGCTTCTACATTTTATTATGCCAACGCTTTTTGATTCTCATCAAGAGTTTAGTGAGTGGTTCTCTAAAGATATCGAAAGTCATGCTGAGAACAAAGGGTCTCTAAACGAACATCAACTTAAGCGACTGCATATGATTTTAAAACCTTTCATGTTACGTCGTGTTAAGAAGAACGTTCAGAATGAACTTGGTGATAAAATTGAGAGAGAAGTATATTGTAAATTGACCGCAAGACAACGAATGCTATATCGTGGATTGCGGGAGAAGATTTCTGTATCCGAACTATTGGAAAAGGCTGCTACATTACCCGATAATGACAGTGTTGATAGCTTGATGAATTTGGTTATGCAATTCCGTAAGGTTTGCAACCATCCAGAATTGTTTGAAAGGGCAGACGTTGTAGCACCTTTTTCCTTCTGTAAATTCAGTTTAACTTGGATGATATCGCGCGAAGGAGATAATTTATACCTTCCTTACTCGACAAAAAACATGATCAAATATGAGATTCCAAAAACGTTATATCGACATGGTGGTATGTATTTCTTGATGACTATTGAGACTTGAAATAAAGATACTTATATGTGTGATATATTTTTGTACGAACGGTAGGTATTTTGTATGTTCCCAGCTATAATTCTAATACGGGATCTCGAACTAAAATACTTGATCACTTGATGAATATCTGGCAGCCAGATTATATAAATGAGTCCTTTTACGATGAAAGCAGTAAGTTAAATTTAAATGATGTAAACTGCGCCTAAATCACTGTATTATCAACTCCTTTATCTGAACATTTTAAATTTTTTTTATTTAGACTCTTTCGCTTTCCTGAAGTTTATGGATACTACTCCTTCAGACGTATCACGAATTTTCTTCGGCCATATGATAAAAAGATGGGTGATGCATCTTTTACAAAGGACAAGACGTTCGCGAAGAAAATTTTACTTGAATCAGGATGACGCAAGGTATGAACAAAACGAAACATAATAATTACAATCATTTTCTTAATAATCTCTGAAAAATTAATCATGTATTTTTTTAATAGATATCCAAACGCGCCAGTTAATACTTATGCTCGTCTTTTGATCACAGAAACATCGTCAAATATCTCTCTTATAAATGTTGAAGAATCGTCTGCCTTGGGTAATTTAACAAATATATTTGCGAACTCGGCCCGGTATGCGCTAGCTATTCTAGATCCTTGCTATATACCAAAGGTGATTGCTCCACCCGTTGAGCCTATCTGTCATGACAAGTGTTTCTACAATGATCAAGAACGAATTATGTTCGACAATTCAATAAGAGCTACACTGATTGGTGTTGATCAATTACTAAATGAGAGAGACCGAGTTGCAAGTCCTATTGGTCAATTCTTAACAAGTTCCGGAAGAAAGGGTATAATTGGACGACCATTATTACGAGGCCAAGGCTTTTCATACATGCGTGTTCCCGGTATGTATTAAATATTCCTCCTTTTTCATATTCATATGATGGAAAATCGATTAATTTTTTTTTTTTTTTTAGCCGTGAAGAAATTAATCATGGATTCTGGAAAATTATTCAAACTTGATAAACTTCTTGAAGAGCTTAAAGCCGGTGGACATCGTGTTTTAATTTATTTCCAAATGACACGTATGATAGACTTAATGGAAGAATACCTTTCATATCGCCAGTACAAGTATTTAAGACTCGACGGTTCTTCCAAAATTTCAGATCGTCGCGATATGGTCGAAGATTGGCAAACCAAGTAATTATCGTTAATTATAATCAAAACTTCATCTTTGTTTTGATATTAATCTTTTGTTTTATAATTTTAAAACATGATTCAGGCCCGATATCTTCATATTCTTATTAAGTACCCGCGCTGGTGGGCTTGGCATAAACTTGACCGCAGCAGACACAGTCATTTTTTACGACAGTGATTGGAATCCCACAGTTGACCAACAGGTTTGTACCAAAATAATATTGTACCGAGAAGAAAAGAATGTAATTGAAATTACAATAACATATACGCTTTGTAGGCTATGGACCGTGCACATCGTTTGGGTCAAACAAAACAAGTGACAGTATATAGGTTAATAACAAAAGGGACGATCGAAGAAAGGATATTACAACGGGCTAAACAAAAAGATGAGGTATATACTTGTATTTGTATTCGAGAGTTGTACACGTAATATTCTTTAATTCAATTTCAACTAACAATAATCTCGATAATCAATAGATTCAAAAGGTCGTTATATCTGGTGGTGAATTCAAGCAAGTGGACTTCAAGCCGCGTGAAATCGTGTCTTTGCTCCTCGAAGACGACGAACTCGAAGCTAAACTCCGTGATCAACAATTGAAACGCAAGAATGATGAAGAAGACACAAAGAAAAAGAGTCGTTCAAATAAACGCAGAAAGAAGGACACGAATTCCGCGACCATCGTTGGTTCATCAAAAAGCCTTGAAGAATTATGGCATGAAGGGGAACCTCCAATGGCGGAAACAGAAGGCAGCGGTGTTACAACACCAGCTTCCTCAGTTGGAGGAAATAAAAGGAAGGCCAAGGCGGTCCCAAAGCCTGCGCCTGTTAAACGGCGTTCAACTAGGGCTACCCGTGGCACAAAGACTCAGGCACCTGTCTCTGAACCTATGGATGTTGATTCGTAACGATAGGATCAATGATCCTTTCTTAAAAAACTTAATTTTATATGCTTTCAATTTTTATGATCCATTCATAAATCAAATTTTATATCATAAAAAGAAGGAGTCACTTTTAATAATTTTCTTATTATACATTAAATAAATAAATAAAATAAATAAATAAAATAAAATAATGTAAATTTGTAGAATAATATAAAAAAAAAATAAACTTAATAATAATTAATTAATTGCCGGTTTTAATGTATTATTATACTTTAAACACGTAATAAAAAAGGGGTACGCAGGGGCCCGTCGAATATAAATTTTTTGTCATGAGAAACCGATATTTTAATCCATTTAAGTTTTTTTTAATCAAATTATATGTATAGAAACGTCTATATTAAATTTTATTTATATTATAAAAGAATAAATTTGGCTGATTCATTTATGTTGATATATTAAAGATATTCGGGATATTGTTTTTGATAATGTGATGTTTTTTTTCGGGTTTGGGATCGGGATTTCGTATCAGATCCATTAAAAATTTATACATAAATTCAGATTGTTATCTAATCCAAATCAAGTGTATTTTGCAGACAATTTTTGAAATTTCGTCTCTGCGGTTCACGAAGACAACGGAAAAAATTTGAAGTTGCCATCCATTATTTAAAGGATGTTATGTGTCGATGCCTGAGTATATACTTATTTGGTTATAAAATAAAAGATATAAATAAAATAAATCAAATTTTTTTTTTGTAGCCATTAATGGAATGGTAAAATGGATATTTAACATGATAAATTAAATAATTTGATTTTGGTGAAAATCTCAAATTTTAATTTTACTGCTACCGGAAAAAAACCATATAAATTAAAACCATTGGGGGACGAAGATACCGGCAAAAAAGTACAAATAGTTGGTAAATAATATACACTTGAATTCGTTTTTGGTTAATTTTTTCATCAATAAAATATTTGTCATTTGTCTTAAATATTATGGAAAAAGATAATGATCTTTCTATCACTAAACAGTTACATTCAAACATTCTCTCACCTTTGAGAATATGGTAATAAAACATATGGGAAAGAAATAGATCTTTAATTTAGTTTTTTCTCATACCTTTATAATGTTACCAATAAAGAGATGTTACATTAAATCGTTTTTATATTAAAAATGGGCTACCGGCTTGTGTAATTGAGAAATATTTCGCTAAAAAAAAAAATGAAAAAAGTCAGTAAACTGATTAAGTAAATAAGTATTTGGCATTGCTATAACCAACCAAAGAATGATTTGTCTTAACGGCGATCCTATCGAATCGTGACTGTAAGACGTGATATTCGAGTAGGGATTCTTTTAAAGTTTACGTAGTAATTCAGTATAGCAACTTGATGATTTACAGTAAGACGTATTTGATATTCAATAAATAATATCTCAATAAGTTTATTTAATGATAAGAAAATAAGAAAATAAATAAAATAAGAAATAAAGAAAAATAAGAAAACTAGAAGTAAACATAATTTGAGAGAAAAGCCAATTGCCTTTAAAAGGAAACTACTACTAAATGTATAACTAAAAGAAAACTAAAGGTTAAAGACTAAAAGTTGGATTGAACTGCTTTACATGATTTTATCATCCTACATTTATATAAATTTTATTATATAGAAAAATATAATAGATATATTTAATATATCTAATACAGTATATAAAATATGTTTAACATATCAAATATATCTACTATGTTTGTCATATCAGCATAGCGGACTTTTATTGTGATTGGCCAATTTTTGCAGATCATTTTTTATTATTGCTGAAATTCTATTGGCTAATAAAATCACATGATTTTATATTGATAAAAAATCGAAGAATAATTAATCAAAGAAAAAATAGTTAATCAAAAGACTATTTAGTTAATCAAAGGTATTTAGTATGATATTTAGCCCAAATGAAAAAAATATTTAATAGAGAATTTTATAAAATCGAATTTTTTTTTTATTATTCATTTATAAACTATTATTTACATATTTTTGCTTAAACTTTATAATAATACATAAAAAAATTTTCTAAACTATACATTCGTTAAAGCATTCATGGCTCTTTCAAAAAGTATATCTATATTAGTATCTAAAGAAAGATCTTTGCTACCAATATTAGTATCGTCAATAGGTTCAGTAATATCTGACTCATTTCTACTCTCATTTGTAACCATCTTGTTAAACGAAGTCAAAGACTTCTGATAACTTTGACAATTTTTTTTAATTCCGTTTACAAGATAATCAATGCAATATTGGCATTAACTTCCTAGTTTAAATAAATAACACTCAAAATGATAAGCGTGTTTACAAATTAAAATACAACCTACCTCACATAAATCCATACAGTCTTTCAAGTCACAATACCTATCTTCTCGAGAAGGATGTGCCATATTCCAAGCTATTGCTAATATTTTAATATTGACTTGAGCTGCAAGAATTGGAAATTTGTATACTTTGGATTTTGAATGTGCATCAGATAAAACAACTTTTGATTTGCCAAGATTCTGATAGACACATGTAAAAAAATTTAACAAGAAAAGCGCAGTCCATTTTTCAAGATATTCCAACTGTTTTGCTGAATATCTGATGTTGTAATCTTCAGAAAATGCATCTGCAAAAGAGTTGCTACCATGCATCTGATCGATTACTCGTGCCTATCGAATAATTTGTCCAACTGTATTTGATTTCTGTATTTGTCGTCGAAGTGAACTGTGAAAATTTTCCACATAATAATCGTTGAAAACATGGAGGAAATCTGAAAGAACTTGTGAAATGGGATGATTAGTACTAGACCAGTAGAAAACATCACTTAAAAATGCTAATGGCAATTTGTTATAGTGTTTACGATTATATTAAAAAAAAATAACCTAAATACGAAATATTGCCTCTCTGTATACCTTCCAATTTCCACTCCGAAATATAACAGGATAGAAATCTAAGACCAATAGGAGGATATTATCCAGCAAATTGATGAGATATCAGACTTCTAGATCTTTAGACCATTCAAATTTCTGTAGAATAATCAAGCATATACGAGACTAACCTTGAGACGCAAGTTCAAGTATCAAACTAATTTTATAAGGTTTTGGCTTTTGTGCCAATACCTTCTGATGCCCAAATACCTCATGAAAAAGCTTATCAAAAAATTTATAATTTGCAAGAAACACGGTTTTACGGATATTCAAAGATACATGCAAAGGGCCAATCATCAGAACGATACATAAAATTTGTTCTGGTATTCCAGAAGAATCTCCAACTTTGATGCGATAGTTGATAGCACAGCGTACATATAGTTGTCTAGGATAATCCATAGGAGCAACTAATGTTTGCATATCCATATAATCTCTTACTTTGGGAATGTCTATCATATATTTAACGGCCTCTATATAATTACTAGTAGAATGAAGGTAACCCTCTTTTAGATTAACCAACTTTGTATTCTCTATACTCTGATCAACTCAGCATTATTTAATTCGATCATCATAACTGTGAATCAAAAGACGCTTAACTCGTTTATCGTATGTCATTGGTGGAAGTATCAAATCAGCAAATGCTTGTTTTCGTCCTATATAACTAAACCATAAATAAGGAAAGAAATATATGTGAGCATTTTGTATAATAATGTTTTCATCAATATCCTTTAGTTATGAAGACTTCCTTCACTTCCTTCTTGATTAGAATTGTAAAATGGAATGGAAACAGTTTCTGGCAAGGCTTTTAGAAGTATTATAATAAAATGAGAGATTTCATGTGTAGTCATTGTATCACTATGACGGTACTCATGAATGTTGTGAAAATCATCTATATTAAGAATAACCAGGCTTCTTATCTATAAATAAGTTACATATGTTAGCTGATTATTTTTACAAATCATAAAACTTAATAAAATATTTATATACTTACATTGTCCAATAAAACTTTCCTATTGTCATTGTATGCACTTCTGCATGTTGAGCTTTTTGTTTTGCAATGGTCTCACATTTTATCGTCAAGCCTGCATTAGCTAAGGCCTCTATTGCTGATAAAGACGCCTCAGACGAATCTAATAAAAGTCCAACTTCTGCTTTAACTCCATTAATAAATTTATTGTTAAGTTCTGCTAAAAAATAACAAAACGAAACTAGTCTCGTTCTATTTTTTTGATTAGTCATATGACTTTTGGTTTATGGGTTAGTTCTGGCTATTAATTGGTCAAAAAAACCTTTCAATGATGGTTTGGCCTTCTCAAGCATTTTCTTGAATTCTTCTGGGTCAAGAATAGGTTTTTCATTATATACTCATTGTCTTGTATACAACACTCCTGCCATCAATTTAATTTTCTTACTAAGAGGAGTCAACTCTAATAGATAATTATTATATGATTAT